GAGGAGGGGGAGGAGGTGGACGGGAGCAGGAAGGGGGTAAGAGGTATGGCACTGGAGCCCTCAGGCTGGACGGCGTTCTTACAGAGGACAAGTCCTGCCGCCGCGGGCTGGGTACCTACTTCACATGCCGGGACACGCGGTGGTAGGCCTGCCACCTGGAAGGCACGTTTAAGTCACAGTGGACCACTGGTTTGATCTGGAAAACGAGGACAAAAAAGAAGCCTCAGGATTCAGCCCCAATTAGCAGACGCATGTTAACTGCCGACCGCGCAGCCCTGGGGGAACACAAGCAGGACGCAGGAGGGTCCTCCTACTCTCGGTGGGGCCCCAGGGCAGGGCCAGAGGGTGCAGAGAAGGTGGGCTCTGGACGGCAGTGCTGGCCCACAGGGGGACGCCGATTCAGGGCTGCACCCGGGGCTCGCAGAGCTCAGTGCGAAAACAGGAGAGTGTGGGGGACCAGCGCAGGCATGAGGGGCCGTGTGTTCTGACTAGGGACACAGTCACCGTGCATCTAGCCAACACACGCGAGAACTCGGAAAGTTCGTGGGAAACGCATGTTCTGAAAAGACTGCATAATTTCACAATTTTTTGTACCAAATAAACTTGTACTTAAATTCCATTGCCCACGAAATTTTGAACCCCCCATACCCACAACCTCCTATGCCCGGTGCGCGGTCGGCCAAAGCGCAGGCCCGAGAGCAGACAAGCAGCGTCCGGCTCCGGCCCCCAAGGCAAGCAACGCGCCCTGGCCGATGGCCACAGCGATGAGGCACCCACAGGTCCGCTCGCCTCCCGCGCCTGCTGAGGGTGGTCTGTGAGACCGAGCCCTGCACCGGGCTGAGACCCTGGGCGTGGGGGGATGTCGCGTGAGCAGAATCTCTCACCTGCCTGGCCCCACGGCCAGAGCAGGCAGAAACACAGAGGAGGGCCTTTCGGGAGGCCCCTGTGGTGACACCTGTGCTCACGGCTCCAGTCCTGACCCCTGCACCACACGAGCAGCCCTCAGGGAAGCCCAGCACTTACAGTGACCGTCCTCCCAAGGCCATGCCTGCTCCCTGCCCTCAGCCCTCCCAGTCCCCACATCTGTCAGTCCGCATCCCTGCCGGCCTCCCTCACACCCGCTGCAGGCTGCCGCCTGGCCCCAGCCTCCCACCCACCGACAGGAACATTGTCTCGAAGGTCCCGTCACCACCAAGAACACAGCTGTCACGTGTCGGCGGCTGGCTGCTGCGTCTACAAAGTCCAACCCCAAAAGCTGAAATCACGAAAGTTGTCAAGTGACAGAGCCCACGACGCTTCCACAAGGCTGCCGCGAGAGCACGGCGCTTTGTGGGGGAGATGGAGAGGCACGGGAGGAAGGGGCCCAGGCCACAGAGCCACTGAACTTGGAATAGCCCCTCGTGGAGCAGTCTGCAGGATGCATCCCCAGCCCCGCAGGTGCCGTGCCAACGACTCCGAAAGGAGTACCCACTGCAGTGTTTGACACACTACTACGGAAAGGGCGCCCTCCCGACGCCTGCAGTAGCTGGTCTGTAAAACGCCCGGTATACCTGTGGCTGGGACACTCTGAGTCACTCAAAAGTGTTCCAGACGCATGCTGCACACTGCACGCACCCCCGGGAAATCCACATGGTGCCCTGCAGACATGCACAGCAATTGCATGCAATGAGAAATACAGAGTAGGAAAAACAAGCGTATTTATGCACTGACGTGGTAGTGATTTCACAAGGCATTGTTAAGTAAGAGGAGATTTAGTAAGAGGGAAACGATAAATAGAACGGACTCGCACTTTTGCTTGCATCAGTGCATTTATAAAACGAGAAATACAGCCAACTGCGCAAGGCCGAGGCCAGGGGAGGCCCAGGTCAGGTCCTCAGCCAACCTGAGCAGGACGGCATGTAGCACATGCCTGTAATCCCAGCCAGGGCAGGAGGACTAAGACCCTGTCGGGAATCTCTCTCTCGCTCTCGCTCGCTCTCTCTCTCTCTCTCTTTTTCTTCTCTCCTTTCTCTTCCTCTTCCTGACTTTCTTATTTTAAAAAAAATAAATAATATTCTAAAAGCTCAGTGTGGGGCCGGCAGGTGGCCTGGCAGCTGTGCACTGGACTCCCACAGGTTTGACCATGGTTCAAGTCCCAGACCTGGTGACTTGCTTTCTCACTTTCCCTGTCTCTCTCCCTCTGGTGAGTACACATGCCCTATAGCAAACTTATAAAGAAACTAATGATACATAAAAATAAGATAAATAAATACATTTTGTTTAAAAGTTCGACATGTGTATAATGTGTATATGTATTTGTACAAGAGCACTTCAAAGATTAGCGTGAAATGAAATTAAAGTATTGAGTATATTTTTGTGCAGAACAACTTGAAGTCTGTACAGTTTGTTGATAATGTGCATTTACGTCAACTTCTGAAGATGCTATGTCTGTATTCGACATGCACAGAAAAACATGGTGGCGGCCAGGTGACAGGCACATGGGTGTGTTTTCTCTTAAATTACATAGTTTTCTCATTTTTCTACAATAAGCATGAATTATATAACTCTTTTTTAAAGAAACAGAAGCTTAAAAAAAAATATGTCCAGAGACCAGCAGTTAGCGTAATGGCTATGTCTCTGGACTCCCATGTAGTCGACTGCAGTTGGCGTCCCGGACCCAGTGGCTTAAAACTCACGCCGAGTGTGTGCGCGTGCGTGCCCAAGATTCTGAGAGGACAACGAAGGAGAAGGGATTGCAGCGTGACCATCCCCCCTGGGGGGTGATTTCTCGCTTTCTGTCTCTCTGTCTCTGTCTGTCTGTCTGGCAAGCGCACGCGCCCTATAGCACAAACCTCTAAAAAATATATATATACGTGTCCAGACTAATTGAACCACACCCAGCAAGAGCCACGGCGAGTCAGCTAGAAGGACGGCAGAGCTGAGGATTGCCCGGCTACCCCGACATCTCGGCCCAGTCTGCGTCTTCAAGGCAAAGTCAAGATCCACCCCAACCTTGTACTTGCAATAAGCTGGAAATGTGTAAAGCACGTTGTGAGATGTACATAAGAAGTCACTCTTGGGGAGCCAGCCTCTAGCCTAGTGGTTACAGGGGCTGGATCCCACATGGCCAAACTCATGGTTCAAATCCTGCCTCAGGAGCTTGAGAACACACCGGCATGGGACACGGGCACTCACCAGAGACGGGGGATGGGGGATGGGAGTGGGGGCAAGATGGCCACGCTGCAATCTCTCCTCCACTTCTCCCTCCTGCTGGGATTTGGGGCACATACGTACATGTGCCCGGCGTGTTTTTCAAGCCTCCAGGTGCAGGACTTGAACTGTGCGGTACGCCACATGGTACCCGGCTGCCTCAACATCACACCACTGGGTACTATGTCTAGTTTATGATAGAACGAATTACGGGACAGAAAATAAACTGAGGCTCAAGTGTTCCTAAAGGGTAGAGGAAAGAACTTAGAGACCGCCTAAATTCAACCTAAATCTGAACAGCACTACAAACCACACTCTGAAAGGTTGCAACAGAAGTCCTTGAACTGAAGGGAGACTAAGGACACTCCTCATTAAACCTATGGTGCGGTAAGTGAGAGCCAGCATCCCAAGAGCATCTGTTTCCAACCTAGCTCTTCCTGTCCCACCACTTAATAAAACTGAACTCGCAGTTTATTACATTCAAATACTTGATCAATCATTTCTACGGCCATACGAAGTGTATATTACAGAACTCAAATTAATTTCAAGTAAATTTCTGTACTGAGTCCAGATCTCTCGGGGTGCCTCCTCCATTTTCCTCCTAGTATATTTTGACGAAAAGAGAAATTCTGTGAAGGAATAATGTACTAAAGTTAAGTACTCTACTCTCTATTAGTGAGGCAAAAATAAGGCAATTAGGCATTTAGACACTGAATTTTTCCACTCGGACAAATCTTCAATCGGATGATATTTGATTTTCAAAGCAGTTTGCACTGCGTTCAAATTGGGAGATGCTTACGGGCCCGCGCCGGCGGGGGGCGCTGCTGCGCTGTGGGAGCACCATGGGTGGCAGCAGTCCCGGCTACTTCCTGTACTCACAGCATCGGGCATGAGTCGCACAGCTCCCTCCTGAGTCCCAACGACATTGTGGGTGCTGTCATTTCAGACTGGCATCGACGGATCCGCGCACTTTGTGAGCATGGGTCATCCAGCTGCCGGGCCTTCAAGTTGTCCCCAGTTGTTTTCATAATCACACACACACACACACACACACACACCACTGCTGTAAACGGCCTCGAGTCCCAGGGATCTGGCCTCGGTCTACCTGGATCAGGCGCAGGGAGGGCTCCATGTGACCACAACTTCCAACGAGACCTCCAGGAGCTATAGAGGACCCCCCGACCCGGGCACCTGGGATCCGGGCAGTTTCCCTACTTGCAAAGCTGTTTCCACCTGTCCTGGAAAGAACTGGAGCAGCACGGGCCTAGCCCCCCTGGTGCTGCCCCCACAGGCACCAGCGCCCAGCCCCTTGCTCGGTCTTGGAGAACCAGAGGTTCATCCTGCTGGGCCGCCCTCTCTGGGTCCCTGGTCAAGCTGCTTTGCACCTGGCCCGCGTGACACAAGGGTTTACTGTCCCCACCACTGCTCAGAGCGCTTCGCTCTGTAAGCGTTTCAGTGTCTCAGAATAACCCACGCAATTATCTACCTCCGCAAATCCAGCAGATGTTCACTCCGTCTGCAGCTCGCGCGAGGGCAGCGGTGGGTGCGTGTGCTATATGTGCACGTGCTACCTCTGCACAGAAAACGATGCAAGTGGACACGAGGAACGCAGCGGTGCTGTCACTGAGAGGTATGACTCTGGACGATCTCTCACTTCCCCACTGGCTTTCTGCGCAGTATTTTGACATCTTTCTCAATAACAACTACTTTTGTGATTGGGTTTTTTCTAAATAAATAAAGTGGAAATTCCAAAAGAAAAACTAAAAACCCTTTTGGGCAACTCTTGCCTCATAGGGAGTGCAGTTATGTCACAGGGACGTACCGCCAGCTGAGGGCAAGGCTCACTGGCGTGCGTGCTGGGACGCTTGCTTCACGCGGGCATGACACAGTGGCTCCCTGGGTCAGAGCCTCCTTGTGTCGGAAACAAGGTCCGACAAGATGATGGGCAGGTCTCCCCATTCTGGCACGCTAGCCTTCCTCGCATTGCATTTAAACCACTGAGCTGTG